CATTTTTCGTTACATTTTGTTTCTTTTCTCCAATTATTCATCAAATATCGAGTTTTACCTACAAAATGCAATGTGACACAATTTAGGCCATATTTTGCCAAAAGAACAATAAAATTTTATAGTTTCAAGCCCCGAATAAATATAGAAAATACACTTATCAAAAATCATAGAAAAACACAATGGAGCTAAAAGTAAATTTTTATTATTATCTTAAATTTTTCAAAAAGGAAAACAAAATAATAAAATTGCAACAAATATCTATAATCCGAAATATGTTCTCCTACTGAATTCCACAAACAATTCTTTCAACATCTATCTCGCATATGTTCCTTTTGGCATATCAATTATGAAAGTAAATTCAATTGAAATGGGTTACTACATGTTTTAGTCTAATTTCGAGGACTAAACTTATAATTTTTGAAAATTTTTAAATACTTCACATCACAAGTTCAAACTCCTAAACATAATAACTCATGGGAAATTTTATGACATGTACTGGATACAAACATTTCAAACTGCATCAATTATAGTAAAATTTCATTCTCATGTAACTTTTCGTTACAAACATTCAATTTCAGATGCAGTCATATAATAAATTCATGATATCCAACAAATGAAAATTTTTAAACTTCATCAAATAAAATTTTCTAGACATTTTACCTTTTCAAAGTGGGCGTAGTGCGAGAAGAGCGGGTAGCATTCAAATTAAATACTATGCATTATCTCTTTTTTTTTTTTGTAGAATTTTCACAAGTCTACAGAAAGGTAGACCTGCGCTCTGATACCATACTGTAACGCCCCAAATTCTATTCACTCAAGGCGCTACTAAAGTCAAAAAATCCTGTACAGAAGTATTCTCAATAAACGCAAAATGCGTAAATATTTTTTTTTAACTATAGCAAATTAGAACGAAATGCGGAAACGTCATTTGAATAATTTGCTCACTTCCAAGTGTCAATACCAAATATAATAAGTAAAGTGCCAAAATTCGCAAAAATACTAACACTTGATATTTAATTGACAAAATGGAATCCAACTATTAAAATACTTGTTTCAAAAATTTATAAATTAAATGGTCTATTATTTAATCAAGAATGCCTTACTCATTGCATTGCCTTACCAAGCTCCTTAACCTGAAAAAGGTGGAAAAATATTGGAGCGAACATAACGAATTATACTCAATGGAGAAACAGGAATCAGTCCAAGTTAAATCTAAACATGAAATCAAACTATGAATACAATACCAATACAACATATTGTAGAAATATGTTCTGTGGGACATCCCCAAGGACCCAGTTACGATCACGGATCTATTTACGGTCCATGACAACATGCTATAAGCACTTAACAAATTATGCAATGTGGGACAACCCCAAGGACCCACTTTCGATTCCAAACCTATTTACAGTCGCTGACAACTTTTGCACATGTATAAGCATTTTATCACAATCAAAATCATACATCAAGAATTAACATGGACATAATAATCATAATTGCTTAAATGTAAACCCCACCTCATAGTCTTGAAAATTTTCTTGAAATTGAACGAATGTGATTTTACCGTGTTTTAACCTTTTCCCGCGATCTCGTCTAGCAAGAACAAAATTAATATAATTTAGGATGCTAAGTGCTAATTAAAACTTTAAAACTTTTAGGGACTTGATTGAACTTTTGAAAGTAAAGAAATGAGTAATTTTATAATTCTTTAAATCGTTAGAATCTAATTATCAAAATTAGAATATTTAGTGCCAATATGATAACATTAGAAAGTAATTTATATTTAATTTGAAGAATAATCAAACTTTAGGGATGAGGAAAGAGTAAAATCAAATAGGGGACTAACTTAAACTTTTGGTCAAACTTTAGGATTTAAAATGAATTTTCAATATTTAAAACCAACCCCCCATCCCCTAATCCCATTTTCACGCAGAGAGGGCTGTCCGTTTCGAAATCAAGAGAAATTCCAAATTTGATTTTTACATTTTGGTGGTTTCCAATCAAAATTGAGGCCGGGGGAAGGAAGTCTAATGTCAATGGAGGTTCGTGCGACGTTATTCCAGTCGAGAGAGGGAAAATAGAGGTTGGTTGTGTTTTGTTTGGGAAGAAAAGTTGCAGGTAATTTCGGGTTTTTCGAGTGTTCTTCTCTGCCAATAAATTTTAGTCACAAGAAGCAAGATATGAAGAGCAAGGATCGGAGTATGGCATTAAACATAGAGATTTCGTTTTTTCTTCCCCCCTCCCTTTTTTTTAATGAATATACTGTGAAGACACAGAGATTGTGGAATCCAAGGAAAACTGAAAAGAAATTTCGAAAAGTTACCTGCACAGAATTTTTTTGCCGAGGATGGTTTACTGGTTCGAGATTGCAGATTGAAAGTGGAAGAAACTGGTGCATTGTGTTAATATCAATTAGAAGATGTTGATGACGAAATCAAAGTAAAATAATTGTTCCAATGTTGAGAGATTTACCTAGTTGAAATACCTATATTTCTTGGGAGGTTTTGCAGCCGTAAGTGAATTTTTTTTTTTTTTTTTTTTGAAGGTGGAATTGATTGGTTTTTAGGTTTTGACACTGTTGAGTCCTACAAGCCTATGCTTCAGAATTTGAGCAATTGATTTGGGCTGATAATGGACTTAAACTTGGGCCGAAGAGGAATATTGTGCTAGGAGAAATTTAAAATAGATGTTGGGTGTAAAATTCGACCCAATAANATTGAAAAGTCATTAAATCATATATCAATTACCCAAGAATAAACACACATTGAATATCAAATCATTGAATTTATATTAAAAACTTTATAATGAGGGTTCATCAATATCTTAGTAATCGAAAAATTAGCCTAACATTACAAAATTACAAGAAATCATAATTAATTTATAAAACTTCATCCGTATTTTGATTAATTGAAAATTAGGAGGATGAATCTTGAAATATCTCCAATGATTTCTTAATGAATTCCAGTTGTGCTTTCCCTTCATTGTTCAAAAAACCAAGCTTTGATCGTCATGAATTGATCCTTGTAATTACCTTGCGATTTTGCTCAAAAGATTGATGATTTTGGCTATCTTTGATGTGATAAATAATGAAATATATGTAGGAGAGCTTTCTCTAAATGAAATGCCCACGTTCAGTATTTTTTAAAGGTTGAAAATATATAAAAAATCGTGCAATATTGGTTTCCAAATAGAATTTTGAATGAAAAATGAAACAACCCGCGTTTGCCGGAGCGCCCAAGCAAAACCCGGGCCAGTGCCCGGGCATATTTTTCAGCCACTGTTTTTTATTTCTCAATCAGGGCTGTCACCCAATTATACAAGTTTTCAAACTCTGTGTTTTGGTCTCCGAATTCGATTATTGTTTCTTTTAAGTCATTTTCTCTTGCAATTTTGATACTTTAATTTCTAATTGCATCCAATTGAACCCCATAACATCTTCAATCTTCATTTTGACGTTTGAATCAACTATTAGAATGTTGAAATTTAGTCCCTATATTTTGGATTTCACCATTTTCCCCTAATTTTTGCTTCTTTCTTTCAATTCCTCTTCCATTCATCGAGTTTCGCCTAATAAACAAAATACACAATGAATTATGCCCTAATTAATCAAAATAATTTCAAATTATCCATATTTAAAGGTTCAAATAAGTGTATAAAATATACTTATCAAACACCCTGAATACAAGTGTAAGTAGTTAAAGCCAAGTAGTTAGCCCATATTTTCAAATCAAATTGTTTATAACAACTTCATAGATATCCATGTTGAAATCTAATTGGAACTTTTCAAACTCGATTTGTTCATAAATGATGATTTAGAAGTTACAATACGTAGTATCTAGACGTAGAGTAAAGAAACATGAGAAATTTTTGTAAACATCGATCAAGCTATACGCGGTCAAAATTTTGGTTGCAAAATTCGAGCCCATGAATAAGTTCTCAAGACTATAGACATATTCCCAGCTTGATTTTGTATCAATATTATCAAAATTTTAAACGTATCCTGTGATTGATATGTATGTAGATTTAAGGGAATGATCCATGCCTTCCTTTAATAGTCATCTATGAAGCATAACAAATGCACGTTTTCTCCACTTCTTGTGTGTTTTGAAAGAAAGAGATTAGTAGATTGAACTTCTAATATTGAAGGAATTGTTCTCGAAGAGATTAGTCTTATATGTTTTTCACAAAAAAAAAAAAAAATTATATATATATATATCCTTGAATATTCATCTATCAAAATTTAAAAAAAAAAAAAACATGTTTCTTTATGTTCCTATAACACACTCGAATTACCTATATATCTACTTAGCCAAGAGCAAGTGATGTAATTTTTTCACTTTCAAAAAACCGCAAAGGAAAATAATAATCAGCAGGCTGAATGCAACGATAGATTCGTTGTCTCGAATTATTGTTTTCTTAGTTGTTTTATCAAATTATTTTGACACCTCAATACATCACCTTCTTATCTTCATAACAAATGAGAAGATGTCAAGATCTAATATGTCGAGATGTCAAAATTTGTGTCGACATCCTTCCATTCATTATGGAGAGGTGATCTGCCAATTTATTAAAAATATATTCGTGGAAGAACCAAGAGGACGATAATTTCAGGACAACATAGCTGAACTTGACCTAGGGCTTGTTTGGTAGGGATTCTCATTTTCTACAGTAAATCAATTCTCATTTGCAACCACACATTCTTCAATAAAATAATATTTTCCATCACATTAATAATTTTTTTTCTTTTTCAACCACACATTTCCCATCATAACACTATTCAAAATCAATTCTTCCCCCAAAAAATCCCTATCAAACAAACTCCTAATACACAAAACTTTTTATAATGGGGTGAGATAGAAATGGGGAAAGGAAAATATTTATTGAAACGTGCAGTAAATTTTGTGAAATGTTATGCAAGTACTACTGTGGATTATTGAAACATGTGAGAGAAATTATGAAATATTGAAAGAACAAAATAAACATAGTATATCGGATCCAGCCAGATGTTGACCTGGACAAACCATAGGGTTACTGGGTCACTGATGAATGAACGCAGAAGCGTATGCAGACATTTTGGGTTGGAGGACACAATCAAACCCATATACAAATTGAATACTTTATTTTTGATTTTTGAATTATTCTCCTTAGCTCGAGAAAATGCAGATTTAGATTTAAAAAGCCTTTTTTCATTAATATTTTGCTCATAATTTTCATCAATTTGATTTTGAACAGTCATTTTATTAATATTTTGCTTATCACAAGAAAATACATATTTATGTTTAAAAAATTTATAGTGTATTTGAATTTTGACACAAACAATCAATTTAAGTAATCGAAACGAAAAATATATAACAAATATTCAATACTAATAATCAATCAAATAAAAACATAATTCATTAAATATAAGTCAAAATGAATATAATCAGTTTAGGCACATTTTATATACACAATTTGATATGAGAAAATGCAAATTTAGATTCTAATTAGTTAAAAATTTGATTGAGAAGCGAAGACGTGTAGTATATGTGATAATTTGTAGAGAAACTATAGACAAAATTTAAAAAAAAAAAAAAATTAGAAGGGTTAAGTTTAGTTAAAAGTGCGTGAGGGAGAGAGCAAGCGAAAAATATTAAATTTATTGTAATTTTGCCCCTATTTGATGGGGATTGAAATCAGATTTTAAGTAAATTCTGATAAAAGTTGAAAAGTTATGGATTTCATGAAATATATTGTTAAAATTAACTCTTAACTTTTATTTAGATTTCAATCGATACGATACACGACTTTATAAAAAAGAAACTCAAAAGTTGAAAGGTCACGTGACCCCAGGACCCCCTGGGTCGGCTAGTGAATGCGCTGGTCTATGCAAAACTTTAAATTCAAACTTTATTTTTATACAAATTTTTGATAAAAAAAATGTATGTCAAAATATTTTGTGTAGATATCATACTTATTGAAAGTAAGAGTATATTGATATTTTCTAACTAATATAATTTTCTTGTTTGCTGTTAATGTTATTAGGGTTGTAGGAATTTTACCTTGATACGATTTTAGCTCCCATATTAAGTGCATGTTTGATAAAATTTTGTTAAAATTAAATTTTAATGGTATTTAGCCCATATTGTCTATATCTTTTAATATTATTGTAGAAAACATCTATATCTTCTATTTTTGGAATTTTCACATTTAATTACACATTTGATTGTGCAAAACATTATTTTCATCCAATTTTTCAACAAAAACTCTAAAATGGTGAATATATCCTCATATTTAAATAAAATAAAAATAAAAGAAAAATAAAGAACTAATTCCAACCACAATCTCTAATTTTTTTTTAAAAAAAGTTCAAACGAATCCCAAAAAAATAATTAAAAATTTTGAAAAAAAAAATAATTGTCTTTCTTTTTTTCCCCTACTCCTCCACCATCACCAAGATGGAGATTATATTGCATAATTGTCAACAAATGTTCATCTAGGGAAGACGACTGACATAAGAAAAGAGGGCAGACGCAAAAATCAAGGACAAAAGGAGGGGATATACAACAATGAATGTATAATTTCTTGTCATGTGAATAGTGAATCATCACTGGCTACTCAAGAAGGCATATATAAACCTTCATCGAATTTCTTTATTGGAAGCAAAAATATATTAAAGCAATAAATGTATGAACCAGTGGATTTAAACGTTCATTAGTGATTATTCAAATATAATCTCGATGCCTAAAAGATTGGTACACTAAATATTTAATATAGATGACTTTGGTATTTTTGTATTTGTTGTCTTTGCTTATTTAAAAATACAAGGGGCATAGCCTCATAATAACTCTTTGGACATCAATCATCATCATAAATAAGATGTGTTAATTAATGGAAAATTGAAGATAAGGGTGTGATAAAAACATTGGGTGTATAAGTATAATAATTAATAAAGATTGAGGGCTTCTAGCGCAATTAAAAGTGGTGGAATATCATAATAATCTCTCGCATCTGGATTCCTTGGCTGACCCAAATACCTTACCATTTTAAGCCGTCCGATTATTTTATCGAACGGCCCATGAAAAACCCTAAAACGCCACAGCAATTGAACTGCCTATATAAGCCACTTTTCCCTACTCATTCCCAGCCTCGCTCTTGATAGAAATCAGAACGCTCTCTGCAGTCGGCGGGTGAGAGATTTTTCTATACTACATTCGAAGGTAATTTCTTTCTCCATACATATATATTATTATGTGTTATTAATCTACTGTTTTTTGAATATAAGTAAGAGATATGTTATATGTTATATGCGTATAAGTATATTTACTGATCTGTATTGTTTTGAATATATGTAATGGATTTTTTTATATCTGTGTATGCGTATGTGTATTGATCTGTATTACTTTGAATATATGTGACAGATTTGTTGACTGTTATGTACTATTCTATAATAAAATTCGTAAACATGTTTAATTGAATCTACGGTCTGTCTTAACATATCCATGTTAAGCAGACTCGTGAAGATCTGACCTTTTGATATGCTGACTATATAAAACACTAGATTTGTTAAATTCTTTCCTTGCCTGTTTTGAGCGTAAAAGTAGAAATTTCTTTTATGCAGTTTGTATCTGAGTTTACATAAACACCTCCCTAATGATGGTAACAAAATTAGACCTTTAAATATCTTAGATCTGTGTATTTTTTGACCGTTTGGTTCATGAACTCCAGAATTTTTCGAGCTGCAAATCCTTGATTTTTTTAGTCTTGGTCTATCTTATACGATTCTTTGCATATTGTATTACTTGTTGATATTAATTTTAGGTAACATTAGTTTGCTTTTCATTATGTTGTAGTTTGGTGTAAACATTAATTGGTCATTTTGACAAAATAACTGCTATAAATTTAATATCTGATTTGAGTTGTTTTGACTTGTAGAGGTTTGTATGTGTTTTTTCAGTTATTGGAATTATATTTACTTTCGTTATTGATATGCTTTTTGATGCTTTTGCATATAAATTGTCCTGACACTTAACAATTATTTGTCGCAGCTTTCTTTTTAAAAGTAAAACATGGGTAAGGAAAAGATTCACATTAGCATTGTGGTCATTGGCCACGTCGACTCTGGAAAGTCAACCACCACTGGCCATTTGATCTACAAGCTTGGTGGTATTGACAAACGTGTTATTGAAAGGTTCGAGAAGGAGGCTGCTGAGATGAACAAGAGGTCATTCAAGTATGCCTGGGTGCTCGACAAGCTCAAGGCTGAGCGTGAACGTGGTATTACCATTGATATTGCCTTGTGGAAATTCGAGACCACCAAATATTACTGCACAGTTATCGATGCTCCAGGACATCGTGACTTTATCAAGAACATGATTACTGGTACTTCACAGGCCGACTGTGCTGTCCTTATCATTGACTCTACCACTGGTGGTTTCGAAGCTGGTATTTCCAAGGATGGTCAGACCCGTGAGCATGCGTTGCTTGCCTTCACCCTTGGTGTCAAGCAAATGATTTGCTGCTGCAACAAGGTGATTCTACTTTATGGTTAAAAAAAATTTTGTTATTTTTATTCCCAACAATATCTAACGTACATCATCTTCTGTATTACATAGATGGATGCCACTACACCTAAATACTCAAAGTCTAGGTATGATGAAATTGTGAAGGAAGTGTCATCCTACATCAAGAAGGTCGGATACAACCCTGACAAGATCCCATTTGTCCCCATCTCTGGTTTTGAGGGTGACAACATGATTGAGAGGTCCACCAACCTTGATTGGTACAAGGGCCCAACCCTCCTCGATGCTCTTGACCAGATTCAGGAGCCCAAGAGACCCTCAGACAAGCCTCTCCGTCTCCCACTGCAGGATGTCTACAAGATTGGTGGTATTGGAACTGTCCCCGTTGGCCGTGTTGAGACTGGTGTTATCAAGCCTGGCATGGTTGTCACCTTCGGCCCAACTGGTTTGACAACTGAAGTCAAGTCTGTTGAGATGCACCATGAGGCCCTCCAGGAGGCTCTCCCTGGTGACAATGTTGGGTTCAACGTCAAGAATGTTGCAGTGAAGGATCTCAAGCGTGGTTATGTTGCCTCCAACTCCAAGGATGACCCTGCCAAGGGTGCTGCCAGCTTCACTTCCCAGGTCATCATCATGAACCACCCTGGTCAGATCGGAAATGGATATGCCCCAGTGCTCGACTGCCACACATCCCACATTGCTGTTAAGTTTGCTGAGCTCCAGACCAAGATCGACAGGCGTTCTGGTAAGGAGCTGGAGAAGGAGCCCAAATTCTTGAAGAACGGTGATGCTGGTCTTGTTAAGATGATTCCCACCAAGCCCATGGTTGTGGAGACTTTTGCGGAGTATCCACCTCTTGGTCGTTTTGCCGTGAGGGATATGCGCCAGACAGTTGCAGTTGGTGTGATCAAGAGCGTGGATAAGAAGGATCCAACCGGTGCAAAGGTCACCAAAGCTGCGGCTAAGAAGGGTGCCAAGTGAAGAAATTTCGTGTTATTGGTTAATTACATTATCTATTTTCAAAGACATCTTTTGCAGTTTTGATTATTATATGGTTTTTCCTGATAATCCATCTGGATTGCCATTTCTTGTTTTTAATTTATCATGAATTTAAGACCTATGTTCGAACATCTTTTAAATTAAGTATGTTTTTCTTCAAGTCTTGGTGGCATTTGAATAGGATTGATTTCTTGCCCTATGCGGAGTAATTTTCCTGGCACTGTGCTTTAGAAAATTTCGATAGTTACCAATGCGTGCATATATGTTAGGTCTCCGGTTTTTCAATTTTTGTTTTTGGAAAACGAAGTTTAAATTAAATAAGACGCAACAATGATGCACAAAATCTATTTTTGTCCAAAATTATGAGGTAGCGTTGAGAATTTGAACCAAAATCACATTTGCGATCAAGTGCACTAATTCCAATGAAAGTTTTTTGTACTTCATTTGGCACAGTGAGTAATGTAATTCATCCCTAATGAGGATGCAAATACTGTTTACGTGATTTTAAATGATATGTTAAATGAAAGGTCAAATTAAATGACTTATTTAACATCATCTATCATTTAATGACACGTTAACATAATGTAGACTGTGTTTTCATCCCTAATAAAGATGAATAGCATTACTTTGGCACAGTTCAACGTTTTTGGAGTCAAGGCAACAATTTATAGCTAAAATAGCTATGGAGGAAACTGGTTTTAATTTTCAAATGACTGTAACGCTCACACTCCACGTAGTAACGCCCAAAGGCTGGGAAATAAAATCCCTCTTTCCAAATATTACAGAAATAGTTAGTCAGTAAATTCTTTTATTAATGGAAAATATTCTAAGTAAAGAGAATCATTTTTATGACAAGAATATTGCGAAAAAGGAGAAAAATGGAAATTATGTGATGACGCGGAAATATGGGTTCGCACATACATTTTGCGTTTAACAATGATTTTCTATATTATAAATTATAATATAATTTTTGTTATTATGTTTGGAAAAATGAAAAAAAGGGTTATTTAGAGGTAAAATGGACCAATAATACATTGGAAATGCATGTTGGCCTATTGAAAGCAACCATTTTACATGTATAGTATGAATTACATTAAGTTTAACATTCATTCATGTGACAACAATTTACATCATTGATTTTAAACACATTTATCCCATCCGAGTTTCTTTCACATGGGGGAGTGTCAAACTCCTTTTCAAGCTAAAATGTACATCCAGCTTTATTCATATGCAACTTCTAAATTCTAATCTATAAAAATTAAAAAGATCACAATGCGTTCAAGTTGGTTTAGATCGTCTACACATTTTTCATTTTAGCCCCTATTTGACATATTCATTAAAAAACATTTTTTTCCAAACTCATTTTCAACTACATATTCTTTTAATAAAATAATTTTGCACGCGAACCAATAATTTTTTCATATTTAACCACAAATTCTTCAAAATATCACTTTTCACAAAATCCATTCTAAAAAAATCAACATCAAGCAAGCCCTAAATCTCTCAACATGAAAACTTGTGTGATTCATAGAGGAATGATGCATCTTCAACAGGGTGAAATTAACAAAACAAAATGTCAACGTTCCTCACCACAAGATTGCGTAAGATTCTTATCAGAACAAATAATGAATTGCGCAAATTTGATACAACAAATGACCTCCCGAACAAGCTCGTCACATTTGTGTAATATGCCTACTCTAAGCCATCAAAAGCTAGCAAAGAAAGGCAAAAAACCGTCTATGCATATGAGATGCGATGGGAGTTCCAAGATAACTAAATTGGGGGCGTACATCAAAACGTAACCCCGCCCTTGATGTTGAGGGCAAGATACTGCGAGTAAGTTCCATAACTGAGCCAAAATGTTGAACAACATATTAGTAAATAATTAACTAGTTCACATATGGGAATTTCATTCCTTGAATAGACATATCCAAAGTTTACATATTCAAAGAATAAATATGTATAGTTACTATTTTTGCAATGAAAAACTCATGAGGTGAGGAAATATATTGGTGTACTCTTCACCCTCATTATGTGGGATAGGAAGGAGAATATTGACTTGCTGGATGATGTAATAGAACAACAAACTAATGTCACCAAAATTACCTGTTAAATTAGTTACAGCTCACCATCATTCTCAAGTTGTGCTTTTGTAGCTGCCTTTTCAGCTTCTTCTAAAACAAATGTTTTGAGCGACTCTACGTCCTTAGGTCCTGTGTTATTCAATTTCAGCAGAAGCAAGTACGATCTGGTAAGCAAATTTCTGCATCTTCACATTTACAACTTCAACTATGAAAATGCAATTATTTGTCCTTAGAAGAAAGTTGATTCAATTGTCAGTTGATAACAGAGAATATGTAATTCTTGGTTTCAGTAACCATTTTCAGCAAAATAAAAATAAATAAGAACCCTAATATTAATGCAAGTATAACTAAGATTATGCAAGATCTTTGAGTAGATCAAGCAATGTCACTCCATTAGCAACGAACTAAACGCTGTTGCAGAAATATTTCATGAAACCACAACCAAAATCTATTGGGGAAAGACTAAGGTGCCGTTCTCTTTGGCGTTTTCGAATCGTTTTCTGTTTTCGATTTTCCAAAACAGTGAAAATGTGTTCTCTTTCCTGTTTTCGAAAACGCATTTTTGAAAACGAAAATAAGATTTGTACAGAAAACACCAAAACGATGAAAACATCGTTTTGGCTGTTTTCAAGCCAAACCCACCCAATTTTCCAAAACACGGGAAACAATTTTCGCCACTGTTCATTCTTCAGCCAAAATTTTCACCAGAAATCTCCAACCCCCACTGCACCTCCACCACCATAAGCACCACCAGAAACTCCCACCACCATAGCCAAATTCGGCATCCTAGAAATACCTCCACCTCCACAGCCAAACTCCCACCACCATACCACAATCGGCATCCCAAAAATACAACCCCTGCCACACGAACCAACCATTTTTCCGGATCTGTCTGCTTCAATTCCTCATCCCCACAACGTTGAATCATAAAATTGGCCCCAATAGAGTCTTTAGCAGGCACACAGAACCATGGGTATGCGTCAATTGCAACAATTAATTCAGCAACAGCTCCAATTTTCGAATCCACTGCCACCTTCCCCTCACCTCCATTTCCCAGTCGTCCCCTTCCCCTCACCTCCACACACAGCGCGCACGCAAGAAAATGGGTCGTGTGATTTGGGCACAGCGTAAGGGAGCAGGATTCATTTTCAAGAAGAGGAAGAGAGACGGGAGGAAGAGAGACGGACGGGAGAGAAGCGAGACGGATGGGAGAGAGAGAGAGAGAGAAAATGTGTTTAAAAGAGAACGGATTTTTGAGTTTTGAGTTTTTCAAAACAATTTTTCAAAATGACAAAAAGAACACATTTTCAATAATCTCAAAATGGACAGTCAAAACACAAAACACAAAATGAATTCAAAACTCAAAACACAAAACTCAAACACAAAGAGAACAGCCCCTAAGTTTGTTGATGCCGTCGTATAAATAATAAAAATCGAATATAGATGGAAGTGTCAAATCCTTAATCTTTGCTAAACACTTGTGATCTTCTTCAGTTTGTATGCAAGTATGAAACAGCAGAGAGAACAAGGGGAACCAGTGGTGATTAATGTTGAAAAAGGTTCCTCTTCAGAATTGAAAAAGTTCGAGGCATTTACTTGGATGCAACAGAAAAGCAAAAATAACATGCAAAGAAATTGTGATGCATATGGAAAAATCAGACCAAAAGGCAGTCTTAACTGATTGGGACCCACACTTTCATTTTAGGTCGTTAAGGCGGTTGGAACCGCCTCTTTTAGAACCATGTAATGGCTAGTGCACAGTAATGCACACGCATAGTTATAAACTTACAAGCTCATTTCTGATATCAGTAACTTAATGCTCCTGGTGATGGTGCGTAATAAATTAAAAGCAGAACTACCGGAAGCATCCATTGGCATTGCAATTTGGAAACTGAGTTTTTGAAGAACCTTGCAGGACAGTGGAATCAACTATTTGACTTTGCCAATGTGTTGATGCAGAAATTGTAGAGTTAGGTTGTTGATGTACATAACCAGGAAAGAATTCGCTTCAGAGGCTCTAGGAAAGGCTTTTCCAGACATTTTTAACAGTCCAGTGCTTTCAGGTTTAATAGATCATTTTCCTTAAAAACTAATTTAAGATAGCAAGGAAGCTAGGGAGGCCATTTAAAAGGGTTAGGGTTGTTAGGTTGGCGATTCTGTGGACAAAATGACTAATTTGTAATGTGTTGTAAAAGTCAAGGATCTAGGGTGCAACTTGTATAAATTGGGTTATGAGGTCTAGCGTTCGAGCATGGAAAGAAGAGAAACACGACGTCGCATTTTTGCTAGCCTATCGTCTGTCGCCCGGCTCTCGCTCAAGTGAGAGGCTATCGCTGAGGTTTCGCTTGAGCGACGGTTTATATGGAAAACCCTAATTTGCGTTTTTAAACAGATTTTTCCGGCCCTTTCAACTCAATTACCCTCACCTATAAATATCCAAGTCATTGGACGAAATTCGAAGGTGGTTTTCATTATTTTTATTGCCTCATCTTATTATCTAAAGATCCAAGAACATATTCTTTCATTGTGACTCATCCTTTATTCTTGGGATCATATAACCACTTGTTTGGGAAAACATCAAATTGAAGAATCCAAAACACCTACTTCCTATACATCCTTAGGAATGTACTTTCTCAATTGGACTTTAGAAATTTCTAGAGGTTGAGAGATGTTGCACTACAAGCGTAGGAAGAAAAACAGGAATAGCTGATTCCTGGATATCCACTTGGAAGAGACAATTGAAGAAGATCGGAGTCTGGAATTTACAACAGATCTTGGAAGCTACAGGAGGTAGATCGGGAGATCTAGCAGGTTGGCTAGATAGTATCTACGGTAACAGATCGTAAGTCTGGAAGAACAACGAATCTTGGAGATTACAGGAATTATAACAGCGGGAACTAGTGGAATTTGCTAGGCTAAAAACGGACTGTAATCCATATTGTCTATAGTGGAGGTAACTGGCTTGATCCCAGAAATTTTACCCAGTTGGGTTTCTCCGTCATCAATTATCGATGTTCATTATTCCTTTCCATATTACAAACTGCGGTTTTCAAACAAAGGATAATTATATTGTATGCTTAATCGTCTAAAAACTATTAAAAAGTGACTTGTTGCTTTTAATATAATAATTATGCACGTAAGGTCAAACTTAGCTAGTAAATTACGTATTTTCAAGGGTGATCACATAAGAAGATCCTCAAGTATTAACATCAGTTGGTGTTTCACCAGTAGGAAAATGGGGGAGGATATTAATCAGTAACCTAACTGATCAAGTACTTGCACGGTGGGGGCCCAACTTCTAAGCAATGTATTGTTTGGTATTTACTGGGTGATGCTACAAGGTCAATGAGCTAATGGATAATTGGAGAGATCCAACAAGGGCCACCAATATCACAATAGGTGGGCTTCCATGTTACATAGGGGGTTCAGAGAAGACAATTGTTCAGTCTTCGATGGAGTAGAGAGTTCATTATATAAAATTAAAAACACTCTGCTTCTAATATTTTTCTTTGAAGTTCACAGGTTATCCCAGCTTGTATAGACACATTTCTTCCTAGAGTTGAGTAAGGTTCTATGTTTTTCTTCATTTTGTTTACCGATTAATAAAAATGGTCAAATCCAAAGAATGAAAGTCGATAGAGAAGTACCAATAAGTGAAGGGACTTCAGAAAGTGATGCACAGGAACGACCACTAGCATGTATCCAGTTTATTTGAGAATTCAGTAAAACCTAAGAATTATTGAAACTTCTTTACTAAAAAAGTTACACAAACATTTAGAGACCTCAGCGTATTCAAGGCTATTTTGTGCTGAATTCTTTTGTTCTCATTCTTACCTTTCCCTCAATCCGCATCAAGTACCAAGTAATTGATGTAAGCGGGGTGCTATGAATAATATGCTTCTAAACAGTTAGCAAGATACCTTTATTAGAGTTTAAGGTGATGGAAACCACGTGCATGAAACAGCTATAGCAATAGATATAAGAAAGCTTAATGTTAAAATTTTTACTTCAATCAAATGACTACATTAAAGCACTTATGAACCATGCAGAAATCAGGTAAAAAATAGTAAGTAAACAATCCCTGTGGCCAAAAAAAGCAATTATGGACCACAAAGAAATCAGTTAAAAAATAGTAAGTGCCAGATCCTTGTGGGCTAAAATTAGTTACCTTGGTATTTTGCAACTTCTTCTCCATTATAGAATAGTTCGAATGTAGGGTATGAATGAATATCGACTTTTCTACACACTGGTCTATTAGTTGTGCAGTCAACTTCTCCGATCTCTATTTCATCCTCGCCTTCCATCATCATTCCCAAATCGTCCCATAATGTCCCCAAATTCTTACTGAAAGAAAATTTCAACTATTATTAAGCCAAGAATATCTTAAATTGGATTCTTACAGATAGAGGAGCATAAACATCAGTATAAAGCAGCAAACAAAAGGGAAACAATTACCAATGCTTACACCAAGGGACACAAAACTTCACGAACCATGCCGTATCTTTCTCCTTCACCTAAATGAAATTATATGGGCACCTTTAAATTGTTAAACAATGCATAAATGAGATGCAAGAGATAAAACATTAAAGTGCATTACATTTTATAGCGTGCATTCTTTTCCTATTTTCTTTTCTATATCTCCCTGAATATGTGCTTTTTCAATTTCGTGCTATCACCACACAATGTAGTCATTGAATACAAATTGAACGGTAGGAATTATATTCATTAAACCCAAAAATTGGGCTAAAATTAAAATTCCACACGAGGACTGATCAATACAATTAACCCGTCAATACAATGCAAATCATTTTTATTTTGATGAACTAGCTACACAATCAACCCTGAAATACTCTGCTTTCTTACTAAGCTCATTTTTTCTTTATTAGATATGATTACAAAAACTCCCAATTTCTTGCAGCACATTACAAACAAGTGAATTTCATGATCAATTTCTTAACAAATCAATGTGAACAAAATAAGAACCCACATCATCACTACATTAAAAATGCATAAATCCATTATTATATACCATAATAATACGCAATGTCGATCCATGATCGATTACTACGAGAAAATTTATGAATCGAATCTGTAAAATTTTACCTTGTCATCGAAAGTATCGGCGGCTAGGGTTATAACCTCAGCCTTCGCGGAATTATTAAGTACCCAACTCGGCAGGAAAATGGATGACAATACGAAGAATTGAAAAATGTGGAAACGGTGTCGCATCATGGCTGCCCGGAAATTTCAATTCTCAGGCAGCTCCGCCGGCGATTGGGTTAGTAGGGGGCGAAATTCTATGGGTACAAAAGGAAAGAGTGAAGTTTAAATTAATTATTAGTATAATTTTATTTTAGTTCGGTTAGACAGGGATGAATTGTTTTAAAACTCAACTTGTACCATGATCACGAAACTTTAATATGCTTAACACCTTCGTTAGCACTCCATCCATCATCCAATAAAATGCATAATTATTTTCGCTGACGTGACGTTTTTCGACCAATTTCTTATCTAGTCGTGGAAGCTTTTTTGTGGATAGATTTTGGGATTTTGATGCACCTTCACAATCTTTTAATTGTCTTCTTGTCAAGGTAAGTAATTGAAAGAAAAATTGAAAGACATATGAAAAGGAGTCAAAGGCCATCAATGATATTATTGTATACGAAACACGGATTAGTCTTATTTTGCTTACTTTTAAGAAAGATGGGTCTGGAAGAATATTTGTAGATTATCGAGATATTAGCAAAATCACGTTGTTCTCAAACTAGATGACTTGTATATTTTCGATGGTTTTCTAAGTTATGCATAATTGATACCGTTAGTAAATAAATTGAGAACTAGCTTTTAATAGTGAGGAGGATTAGTATGGTTAGTGATACTTCTTGGAATGTCTAATGTTAATAGCACTTTCATGAAAACCCTAATACGTGTTGTCGTTGAGACCAATTTGTCGGTCTCTTTGATTTAGAGTCCATTCATTGGTAAATCATTTAGACGAGAGTTTCACACCCTTAAGAAATTGTACATAAAACTAGATGAAATGTTCTTCCAAGCTGCCTCAAATAATTTTCAAGGGAGGATATCGATGGAACTTAAAACGATTTAGTCTATGTATATAACGTTGAATGAACCTAAACTTCGACTAAAGCATGTATTTGATGGACCCGTGGAGTCTTCTTCGATATTTAGCAAAATTTACCCGATGTTTTATTTTACTACTCTTGATTATCAAAAGACATGCAATGCACTAGCTATTAGTAGATAAAGTTATTTGAAATGGTTATGAAGTTTCTATGGAAAATATAGGCATTTTTAATTTCAATGCAAATCATCAGCAAACATTTAGTGCATAAGCAAGACCAGACTTTTAAGTTTGTTGCGATGAAAAGATAAATTTGATATCAAATCTGATTATAGGACGTACAATTGTCTTACTTTAGTGAGTGAGAATCTCGATAAAATTAAATAGTCGTATTCTGCATATGATAATAAATTTTATGTGATCTCTTTGTCATTAGATATGTTATGCTGGGATTGTCTTCAATCTACAACTAATTTTGACAGGGAACCGGGAACGAGTGTATGGTCCTATTTTGTCATTATTTTTAGGACATTTTTCTAAACCATGTAAAATGTCATTCTGTACAAGTTTTAAACAGTTTACTTTTTTATTCTTCTTTCAAGCAAAAAATATTGAATAATTCTTGGTGTTCATAGGGGTGTCCGCTCTCTCACATGAAATGGAGCCCATAAAATGTCATTCTGTACAAGTTTTAAACAGTTTACTTTTTTATTTTTCTTTCAAGCAAAAAATATTGAATAATTCTTAGTGTACATAATTTTTGGTACACAGAGGTGTTCACACCCTTACATGAGGTGGGACCCACTTTTTGATACCAAAAATTATACACATGTAGCATGTACCAAAAATATTTACTTGTTTTAAAACTCACTTATTTATGACTAATTGAACTTTTTAAGCATAGCCATAAGTGCATATTATGATATTGATAATGAAGAACTAGTTGGAGCCAATATGACTTATTGCTGCAATAATTCACATTACAACCATTTTGAGATAGTAATGGATTATTCGCTTTTCTATCTTCTTGCATATACTTGATTTGATACTACCTTAATTCATGACAACAAATTTCCATGCCTTACACTAGAGCCGGTTCAAACACTTGGAGGTCTTAAGCAAAATAGCTGATATGGTCTTTTAGGGAATCATAATAAAATAAAAATTCATGGAGCAAATGTAACGAAATTTTCATTGGTTATCGCTGACCAAATATTCGAATGAAAATCAATACTTATACATGATTCAAATGGAATTACTGATATCAATAATGTCGATGATAACCGATGCATCTCCTCAACAATTATCAAGGACAATATTTTCGGTAACGGATTCATTAATTGCTAATAGGAAGCCATCGGTATCGTCACTAGTATTATGATTGAAGATTTGTCACTAATTAATATCTATCGATGATTCAAACAAAATTACTGGCAATAACACCGATCACTGACCACCTCTATCAACCACTACCGATGGCAATGTTTTTGGTGATGTCACCAATCCTGAACAGTGTTTCAATCGTCGATAAACGACGGTATTGATTGCAAGTTGTTGGCATCATAGACAATTTTTTTGATGTGCATCCGTAATATCAATAATATATGTGTCAGTAGTTCTATCTAAAATTATCGATAAATATTGATTTTCGTTAGAATAACCTACAGTAAAACTTTTAGGTTGAATTAATATTTAAAAAAAAAAAAAAATCACATAAGAAAGTAAGTGACTGCCAACCCTCTAAATCGGCCCCCCTGTTTAGCCGTATCTGAATTTAGTGCATGTTTGGCAAAGTTAAATTTTTTAAAGCTGGTTTACACATAACGCCTTCGTTTGATAACCATTATTTGAAAACTATTTACCTACTTATTTTTAACCAAACATTCACACAATAAAATATTTTATACGTAAACCCCGAATTTTTTCTTACATTTTAACCACATTCTTCTAAAAATTATTATTCAAAACATTGTTTAGGCCAAATAATGGCCATCAAACAGGGACGTAGTACGTAGGATTCACAACATATTATTTACACATTTCATAAGGAATCCACAGCTATAAACATTTAAAAAAACCTCCAAACATGTTCATAGATCGGATAGTAACTCTAGGCAGAATTGCAAATAGTGATTACTGTAGGCAACTGAACTGGACTCAATATTCTTTTATTCCAGATTTTAAGCATGAAATATGAGAATGAAAATAGCTCAATTCCGTGTTATAGTATGGGCAAGTTGGTGGATATAGCCACTCCCATCAAACTGTGTAACGTCCTATGGTTAATTTTCCATTTTACTTCATATCACTTCATGTGTGATCAAGATCTTTTACCAACACGAGGAACGTACGAAGAACCATTTTCAAACGTATACTAAACATGAGAATCGTTAGCGAGTTGTATAGTTAAAAAGTGTACAAGACAATTTTTTTATTCAAAAGAAGAGACGGTTAAAATCACTCATCTATTACACTTTTAGGGCCTGTTTGGTACAGATTTTCATTTTCTACAGTAAATCAATTCTCATTTTCAACCACACATTTTTCAATAAAATAATATTTTCCATCATATCAATATTTTTTTCTTCTTTTTCAACCACACATTTCCCATCATATCACTATTCAAAAATCAATTCTTCCCCCAAAAATCCCTACCAAACACACTCTAACGTTAGTCGAATGAGTCTACCCATAACAAAGTAG